TGTTGATAGATAAGGAGAGGCCATCTCCTCTTGTACCAGTCAGATCCTTAGGCATTAGTGAACTGATATTTCACGTGTATATACTCCTTTTTAAGTAGTCACAATTTATTTTACACAAATTATTTCTCAATGAGAAATGCTACCAACATTTGTAGTCTGAAATCGACTACAGTCAAGATTCATTAATGATAATTGGTGACTGCAATGCATGAGTTGGAAATGAATATCTCATGCCATCCTCAAAATCTCCAACATACTGCAGTCACTGTGTCAATGCACCTGGTTAAGGGTCTTCCTCTCACCATTCCTCAGCTTTTACAAACATGATGTCCCTCTCCAAGAAATAACCTTTCCTGCCTAGCAACATGCCCAAAGTATGTGAGACAAAGCGTCATCATCTATCTTTGCCTCCACGGAACATGATGGCTGTATTGTCTCCAAGACATATCAGTTAAAACCCTATAAGCAACAAATGAACATGAATAGGAAGTGGCAGAACTAGATTTATAAGCTATTTCTTTGTTCTTTCTTTAACCCTGTATGCCAAACTACAAATTGACAATTCTTATAAGCCGGGAAGAGTCAAATTTTAATTTGAGATTTGATCAGGAGGTACTTACCTGAGGAAAAGATTGGAAGTGGTAGACAGCAAGATAAAATGTCAGTCTGAGCATGGTGAATGTAGTGAGGGCAATGAAGCAGAAAGCAGCATGGTGACATGGGCTCATTGTGGTTACTTAGATACAACTAGAGTCACATAGTGAGAAATTTAAAAAAATAACAATTGTAGCTAAATCAGGAGAGTTATATAAAAGATTATGCTTGAATTTGAATTTTATTAAGTAGAGGTTTGATTAAATGGCTTAAAAATAAAAATAACACTATTTGCAGTTAGAATGATGCATTAAGCTGTGATGTAAAGAGTAAGATCAGAAGCATAAAACCAGCTAGCAAGACAGTTTTGATATTCTAGACAAGAGAATATATCTTGGTTTGACTTCACTGAGTAAATCTTTACAGGTGTCTTGTATGCACCAATGTTGAGTCTATAATGTTGAATACCATGAATATGATACCTACCGTTACACAAAATCTAAAGTCTGTTGTGGAAAACAGACAAAACCCACAAAAGTGCAATTGAGTAGAAGCTACAGATAAAAGAGAGATTAAAGAGGTAACATTAACCATATCCACTATTATGTGGATTTAAGACAGAGAAAAAAATTCAAGATTTCCTTAAAAATAAATTACTACACTGAGGATCTACCTCTTTCCAACTTCTGGAACCACTTTCCTCATGAATTCTGATAAACTAGTAGGTTTTAAATATAATAAAGCCGTTGTTGTTGTTGTTGTTGTTGTTGTTATGTGCCATCAAGTTGACTCCAAATCATAACAACCCTATATACAACAGCTCTGAACTCTGCTCTATCTGGAGCCAATGTCATCGTTTCTGACACACCGACCCCATTACCCTAGTCACTGAGTCAATCTATCTCATCTGTCTTCTCTTATGTTGTCCCTCCATTCTCCCAAACATGATGCCCCTCTCCAAGAACCAGTCCCTCCTTGCAACATGCCCAAAGTATGTCAGACGAAGCTTCACAATCCTTGTCTCTAAGAGGCAGCCTGGTTTCACAATAAAGCGTTTAGGCTGCTACTTTTTCTTCTGTTGGTCACTGAGTGCGTAAAAGTAAATGAAATATGGTGGGAGTTTTTAGGTGTCTGGTTTTGTATTCTGGTGTGAACAAGTATTTATGTGCTAAGTTTACTAGTTAATTAGATTTAACTAGATCTGATAGAATATTAAACT